TCTTGAAAAGATCATGTAATATTAATATTATTTTTCATTAAATGCCTAGAAAATTTAATGGTAAAGTTCTCTGGATCTAGAATCTCTTCTTGGAGTAGTTTCATTTTAATTTAATTTCTTTACTGCCAATCAGATTTCCTATTTCTTCTTGCATTTTATTTATTATGCTGTATTTTTCTAGGGAATTTTTTCATATCATCTGAATTCTCAAAATAGTTGTTGATATTATTCATTCATTTTTTCACTTCTGTAATATCTATAGTAATGTCTTCTCATTTCCAGTATAAGTAATCATATTCTTTCCTCTCCCTTATCTTGCCAAGAATTTATCAGTTTTATTAATCTTTTCATAGAAATATTTTGGTACTGTGTGGATTTTCTTCATTGTATTATTCCTTATTTTATCATTCTGTGCATCTTTTTTGTTATTGCCCCCTCTTTCTCCTTCTTGGTGTCATTTGCCATTTTCTAACTTTTTAATAGGAACAGTTAGGTAATTTTATTTATAACTTTTTTCCTTTCTGTTATATCTACTTAATACTAAAAATTTCTAAGCATCATTTTTATTACATTTTATAAGTGTTGATATGTTATAGTTTACTACACTTTATTTCAAACATTACTTGATTTACCTGGTGATTTAATCTTTGACCAGTGGGGTCTTTAGAAATGTATTGTTCAATCATAAAAAATTGAGAATTTTATATTTTTTGTTATTGTTTCTAACTCATTCTACTATATTCAAAGAATATATTCCATATTATTTTGATCTTAAGAAATTCATTGAAACTTTATGGTTCTTTATGGATCACAGTATGGTCAATTTTCATGGAGGTGTATATACACTTGAAAAGAGTATATATTTCAAATATATTAAATATAGACTTTAAAAATATCAATTGGATCAGGAAATTAAGTAAAATTTGATAATCAGTTATTTAGATCATCTAGTTTCCAATGTCTGCTTATTTCTAGTTACTTGGAGATATTAAAATTTCCCAAAATTATTGTGGAAGATTAATCAAGTTCTTTTACTTTTGTCAAATTTGCTTTATATAGCTAACTAGGTGTATAGATAGAATATTTGCATATTCCTGGTGCTATCAATATGAAATATTACTATTTCTAGAAGTTTAATTTTTCATTAAGGTCTACCTTCCTGTAGCAAAAAAATTTTTCTCTTTAGTCAGTGCTTAATATATCTTTTTCCATTTTTTACTTTCAACTTTTCTATACTAGTATCTTTAAAGCACTTCTCTTTTAATTAACGTTCATTTGGTGTGTATTTTTTGTTTTATTTTGTCAGTTGGACAATCTTGTTCAATTTAGTTAGCTCATATTTAACACAAATATAAAATATTTGTGTTTAAATCTATTATCTTTCTATTTATTATCTATTTGTCGCACTTCTTCCATTTCTTTTCCTCTACTTTCTTGCCATTTTCTTGGGTTAAGCATATATTTTTCTATTGTATCTATTTTTTGCCTTTGTAGTTAAGCATTCTTTGACTAATATTATCACTCTAAATTATTTGTTCATTACTCTATTAAAGTTCTAATATAGATTAGTACCTTTATCAATTTCTGGACCTTCCTATTGTGTTAACTCCACTTATTGTCTCCCTCTCCTGCAGTTTTTGGCTATTTTCATTCATTTATTCATCATATATTTTAGACTCCACAACATATTGTAATTGCTCTTTCATAAAGACAGGCTGCCTTTAGTTACTCACATACTTCCTTTTTTCATTGCTTTTTCTTTTGCCAGTTTTCATCTGGGATCATATTCCTTCTATCTGGCGCTCTCCACTCTTACAAGTCTATTGCCAATGCAAAAACATTTTTGAAAGTGTCTACATTTTGCTTTCATTTCTGAAGGCTATTTTCACTTGGTAAAGATTTTGAAATAGGCTCTATGAAACACTTTGAAGATATTCTGTTGTGTTCTAGCTTCTGTTATTTCTTAAGGTAGATTTATTGGTGGTCATTTAAAGGCAATGTGTCTCTTCATTTCTTGTTGCTTTTTTGAGTTTTCTTTTTGTATTTTGTTTGCAGCAATATGGTGGGCCTAGATATGGTTTAATTGTATTTATTTGGTTTGGAATTTGTAGTACATCTTGTCTGTGGTTTGTCTTTTCACTGATTTAAGGAAATTCTTGAATATGATTCCCTACTATGTTGTTTTATCCCAATTATTTCCTTAGTGTCAGGGGCCCAGATTATAACATTTAATTACTCTGTCATGCCTCCTATGTCTCTTACTTTTTTGGGGGGGAGGGAGGTTGCTTTATTTCCATTCTGTATTCTCTCCAGTTTGCCTCATAGTTATATTATTATTCCTGTAATATTTAGTTTCTAATTCTTTCTACCTTTATCTTATTAGATTTTAAAGCCATTTATTGAGTTCTCAGCACCAGATACTAAATTTTTTAGTTTTAGAATTTCCACTTGATCTTTTAAAAAGACTCATGTTTCCTGTTCACATTCTTCATTTTGTCTTTGATTTTCTTAAACATACTGGTTATGGTTATATTGAAGTCTGTTCCCAATAAGTACAATATCTTATCTACTCTGGATCTAATTCTACTATTGTTTTTCCTCCTGGTCTTTAGACACTGGATCTTTTGGTCTGCTTGGTAATTTCTGATGTCATGTCAGATATTCCTCAGGGAAGAACTATAGAGGAAATTTGAGATTTTTGTGAGCTTCGTGCAGAAAAGATTTACCTTTGCTTCTGGCAGGCAATGGGGCTGGGGAAAATTATTTTAAACAAAATAGGGTTTTGGTTTTTGGTACTTGATTTACGGTTTGGTGCTAGACTGTTTTGATGAGTCTGGTTTGGCTAGTCCTTACCCCTAGGTCATAGCCCTTCATTGTCTCACCTGAAATCTTAGGTGTTGATCAGGGCCCCTCCTTCATCATGTGGCTTGAATGCCAGCTTTTGTTTTGCTTAAGGGGAGAAGAAATTAAATCAAATTAGAAGAGAAGACATGCTCCAAGCCTTAAGGTAAAGCTGGCAGTCTTAGAAGACAGGATACCAGCCTCCCATAGAAAGCATTTGTTTTGGGTACTAATGGTACTAGATGGGTAGAGTGGAGCTATGGTATGGGAAATGGTGGATACTAGATCATGGGATATATATATTTTCTTCTCTGGAAGAAATGGTATTTCATGGTACCTCCATGGAATGTTAACAGAAGTTAGACAAAATGAAGAAGTTAAAAAAGACACCAAGGTTTGGGAAATGTTGTTTTAAGCATATTTGTTTACTGCTAGACTTACTTGATTTTTTTTTAAGCGTGCTTGTATCTAAAACTGCTTAAACTCAGCACACTTTCCCATATAATGAAGCAGTGTTTCTTGGAACATACTTCTGGAAATTGGAATGTGTGGGCATCAAGGAAATATGTGACTGGAATATCATATACTATCGTGAAAAGGCCACAGAAGCATGAGCTTTTTATTTTTTGGTATTGACCAAAATTCTACCATTTGCACCAAGAAGATGATCTAGCAAAAGTTTTCACTCAGTATCTTTTAATTGAGTGAACTGTTGCTTTAGTGGATAAAAGAAAAATGGGACTAGGGTGAAATGAGAATGAAATTTGTTGGTCATTTTTTTTCCCCTAGGAAGATCCATCTGATAATATAGTACAAGAGGAACTGTAAGGAAAAGAGGGTAGACACTGAAAACCCGGATAAAGGTGTTAAATTTCTCTAGACCTGGGATTTGGTTTTGGACTATGGGGTCATCTTTGAAGATAAAAAATGAAATGGAGACTGGTGATACTTTGTTCAGGAAATCAACAACATTTGTTGGTTTTTTACATGGAAAGGAAGTTCTCAAGGTCTTGAATGAGCTTGGATGGCTCTGAGGATGATTGGGTCACTGTGGGGAAGAAGGACAGTCTATGCATGAGACCTCTTTCTGTTTCCTGCATGTAACCAAATGGTCTGCTGATGGGATCTGAAGACAGTGACTAATGCCATGAAGAAAAAGATCACTAGTTTTCAAACAGTAAATCTAGTGTTCAAAGCATTTGGATGAAATTTTTTTTTAAAAAAGCTATTTTAGAAAATTAGATAGTAAGTACATTGTGCAAAGATTCTGAAAGTTTCTAAAGCATTTTTCCTTCTAGTTCAATAATTATGTGATATCTACAAATAAAGTGTGTATGTGGGTTAAAACATTTCAAACTGATGATAATTGCTATTTTCAACTACCTTTTCCCCTCAATAGAAAGCAGAGTGTTCTAGAATGACCAAGCAAGTCTTGAATTTGGGGAATGACTAGGGTGTGACATTGCAAATATAGGTTCAGTCTAGATGTACTTAGAGTGGAATCTAAGGAAGTAAAGATTTTCACCATTACCCTCTATGTCTGATCAAATCTAAAGAGCCTCACAGGAGCCAATTCTCCTCAGAAGAGGCAGTGGGTGGAATGGAAACAGCATAGACTTCATCACAGACTTAGATTTAAAACATCCAAGGAATAAGTTGATTTTTACCTCTTAGTTTACTTCTCTATAAAACAGGAATAGCATTTACCTCATAGGATATTTGTGAGGATTAAATAAGATATAAATAAAGCTGTATGCATACAACAACGAATGAATACTGTGTTGTAGTCCCTTAACACAACTTCTTCATATTCACCAGACTTGCTTTTCATCTGAAAATTGTGTGCCTTTTGGTAGGGTTATTGAGAGATGCTACATGTGTGGTGATAGAACTAAAAATAATATTAAAATTCATGTAATAATAACTACCAGAAAAATATGGGAAATAATTTTGAAGAGTTTTACATGTAAGATATTAGGAATCATAAGGATGAGATATTTTGTGGGGCTAAAATTATTTGTGTTCTTGCAGGAAAAGTATTAAGTATATTGGTAATGATATGGAGAATCTGAATGAATTAAATCTAGATAGTAAAGCTTGGTTTTAATTAATAAAAAAAATAATTAATTGTAATTAACAATTCTTTCCCATTACACCAGTGAGAAGAAGCTCATTACAGATGCCCTTAATAAAAACCAGTTCCTGAAGAGACTGGATCCTCAGCAGATCAAAGACATGGTGGAATGCATGTATGGGAGAAACTACCAGCAAGGCAGTTACATTATTAAGCAAGGAGAACCAGGAAACCATATATTTGTGCTTGCAGGTGGGTTTTGCAGATTTTTTTTTCAGTTATCCTATAACAAATGTTTTGCTTATTGTCTTGTGTTTTTTTTGCAAATATTTATAAAAGTACAAAACCAGTTTCTCTATTTGTAGAAATCTAATAGGGTTCATGAAATGGCAACATTGTTAATCTAATCATCATGATGGCAATAGTTAATATTTACTGAATGCTTTCTATATATCTGACATTCTATTCAACACTCAGTTGGGAGGTCATGTTTCATTTTCTTACCAACCCTATAATGCAAGTGCTGTTATCTTTATGTTACTAACAGAGAATATGTCCCAGGAGGTTAAGTAAGTTATCCAAGGCCACACAGCTCATAAGTGGTGAAGGCAAAATGCAAATTTAGGCAATCTAACTTATGAAACATATTTTTAATTACAGTGCCACCTGCAAAAAAAAGTGCTTCCATTCAAAATACAGCTGCTTATGTTTAGTTTTAGATAATTATACCAGGAAAAAATATCGTGGTTTTGGAAATGATTTTGGCTATATACCAATGACTTCAAAGGATAATTTAGGTACATTTAACCAACAGACAAATCTGTAGAGTGCCTTACAGTAACAACTGGTGTTTTTAGAACTAATTAAATGGCTTCCTTTATCTGTGATCACTTGAACATGCATACATGCTAGAAAGTTATATAAGGACTACTCAAAAAAAATTTTAGATATAGAAGCGAGAAATTATCTGAGCAGGGATTATGGTTATTGGATGCCTTGTTAAATTCTGAATTGCCCCAAGCCTAGGAAAGAAAGTTAAATTGGTTTACCCAGATGGTGTGGTGAATTGAGATATGATGTGATCTATTTTATGTTGGAAGTTCTTGATAAGCTAAGCAGTTGCCTTTATTCGTATTTCCTTGGGGCCTTAGGTGTGGGACATAAGGTGCCTTTCTAAACAATCTAATAGTTATGTATTATTCTATTTATAATGTACAAAAGATCATTTTCATATACTTTGATTCTTTAAACATGCTACTTTTATAGTTATTTGTGTATTATTTGCCATATATTTTTATAGGCAGCTTTAAAGTCATATGGTCATTCCCAAGTAATAATTCTATTCAACTAATGCATTATAGCCTTAATTTAGTCAGTCTTTATTTTTTAAATTTTAAATTTTTTAATTTTTTAAAATATTTATTTACTTTCTTAGTTGTAGTTGGACACAATACCTTTATTTTATTTACATGTGGTGCTGAGGATCGAACCCAGGGTCTTGCACATGCTAGGCGGGCGCTCCACCGCTGAGCCACAACCCCAGCCCATAATTTTTTAAATTTGAATAATTTATTTAACCAAGTATATCTAAAGCAGCCTTCAGCTTTATAGGACAGGTGATCTGGAGCAATTTTTCTCTCATGCAACTTTTCTCTTGGGCATTTTACATCTGTTTTAGCCACACTAGAAAATTCTGGGAAGAGAAGATAGGTCATTAAGTAACAAATATTTGTGGAACTTGCTAGGAGAGCATGAGAAACTCATGTCAGCCCATCTTGTTCCTTGCCAGTTAACTCTGATGAAAAACTTGGGGAGGGAAGAGGTTGAACAGATGTCAGCATCTATGTTGCTATTGAGATCAGAGATATAGCACACATGGAAATGGAAATTGGATGTTTTTTTATTTGAATTAATTATGCTGTCATCTAAAGAATGATTTGCCTGGTTTAATTATCTGGTTGAGTAAATTAATTTGATGATTAAAAATCCCCCTTTGTAGAATATAGCATGAATAGCAAATAGTACAAGCATATTAACTTAGAAATTCGGTATTCCGTTTAAATTCTTCAGCATTCCTCAGGTCCCATGAACCATAACCAATTAGGGAAAAGGCTTAAAATGCACTAATATCTGTAATATCAACTGGACAGTTCCACTAAATGGCTTTGATAGAATAGAATTAGCTGTAATGGGAAATTATTACATTGCATATCTAATCTGTGGGATTTTGAACCAAAACAGAGATTGCTTTTTGTTTTTCTTATGAATTATAAGTTTTATCAGAATAAGAATCTTTGTCTCTTTTGTCCACTTTGTTGTTGTGGCATCTGAAACAGTTCCTGGAACAATGAAGGTACTCAGATCAGATTTGTTGAATGAAAGGATGGACAGAGATGACCCAGATCTACACAGTGGTAACTTAGAGAAAGAAACTAATACTTTAAGGGAAGGGACATTACCCTTTAAGAATTTGTGTATTTTTGGCTTATGAGTTTGGTTAGATAAGATTTCATGTGAAGAGGAAAGAGATGAGACCTGCCAGGGTAAAAGAATTGTGAATATCTCAGTTTTGCCTCTCCCTTCCTTTCATCTTTGCCTAAGTATAGACACGTGCCAAACACTCTTGCTAGTGACTTGCTTTTATGATTAATAGTTATTCCATTTAAATGCTGGAAAGGCTAGATAACAGGGAGGACCATGAAGCAACTTGTCCAAGGTCACGCAGCCAATAGTTTAGTAGAGCCAGGACCCAGAGCCAGGCAGTCCGACTGCAAGACAAGTGCTTATCAGGTATGACACACATCGTCCTTCTGTCACTGTGAACAACTGTTCTGTGTTTTCAACACCATGATGGTTGGATTCCTAATAAGAAATCAATTGTTTCATGTACTACAATTTGCATAAGGTAGTATAAACTTTAAACAAAACACTCACCATTCACCACTTCAGGGAAGGAGTTTTGTTAGAGTGATAGCAATCAATATTAGAAATGGCTGATGTAGTATTTCTTATGTGCTACCCATCATTCTATGTTCCTTCTTGATATTAACTTATTCTCATGACAAATATGTGAAATTATTATCTGGCTGAGTAACTTAATTTGATAATTAAAAATCCCCCTTTGTAGAATATAGCATGAATATTTCCCCATTGTTAATAATGGGAAATATTATTGATATCCCCATTATTGATAAGTAACTTCAGGCAGAAAAGGTACCTTTTTCAAGGTGAGTGGCAGTGCTGGTTTCAGCTGTATTTTTAACCACTGTATTACAATGACAATAATAAGATATCTTACCTGGATGCTTTTCATACATTTGGTTGTTGTTTAATTTACAAAATACATGTTGATTTTTATTATTTGTATCTGTCTTAAATTCTACTTGATAGAGGGTCGACTAGAGGTGTTCCAAGGAGAGAAATTGCTGTCATCCATCCCTATGTGGACCACATTTGGGGAACTAGCCATTTTATACAACTGTACCAGGACTGCCTCTGTGAAAGGTAACAGAAGATGAAATGATGTCTTTGAATTTTTGCGTGGTGCTAGAAGATTATCTTGTTAAGTCAGGTTTGCATGTTGGTCCAACCTTTGTCTTTTAGTTTCCCCTATATGCTCTTATTCATAGAAATGCTATGCCTATGATAGGATTTATATGGAAGCATTTCTCTAAACAATTCAAGTTAAAAGAACTTTTCTCTCAGGTACCTGTGTATACAATTGAAAAATGGCTTTAAACTAAATGATTCCAACATTTTAAAAATTGCCATTTCATCTTTTACTATGCAGACATCATTCAGAATGTTTGCTTTTTAGTTTCCATAAGGTTCTGATCAGAAAAATTAATCAAACCAAATTAATTAAATGAAAAAAATTAATCAAATGAAAAAAAATGTAAGTATCACAAAGGATAAAGAAATGAGAGTTTGCATGAATGACTTTTAGGATTTGTTTAAGTAGTTCTCCTACTGATTTTATTTTTACTGATTTTATTCATGCAATCTTGGATTTTCTTCAAAATTATTTAGATGTGGTGTATCTCAGTGTTTGAGACTGGGTTACATATATTAACATGCTGAGATATTTAATGAAAATGCAGACTCTGGGGCTCCACTCCAAATATGAAGAAGAATTTCTGGTCATGAGGCCCAGGAATCTATATTTTTAGGAAGAATATAATGGTAACTCTAATTCACTGTAAAGTTTGATAAACTGGATCTTTAGTTCCCGATCTATTTTGTAGGCTCTCATTACTCTATTTTTTAATCTTACAATTGTAATTTCATTTAAATTATTTTTAAAGCTGTTACTTCTACTCTACTTCTTTTTGGGATCTTATGCTTGCCTTTAATATCTTTCCTATTAAAACTGTTTTTTGTAAAAACTGTCTTTTGTAACTTCTTTAAAAATTATTCATAAGCATTTTATGTGAATAACTTCAGAGATCCTTGAAATATGTAGGCTTTTTTTGTGGCAACGAGATCTAAACAACATAAAAAGACACAAAAAACGTAAACATACACACAGAAATCCTTAACTTCAGTTTACCTGCTTGTGAATTCTTCACTCTCTAGGTTGGCCACAGGTTGACTGGCCTTCTCTAACATGTGTCCTGATGAGGTAGTGTGTAATTAGAAATTGCAAACTCATTTGAATATCATCTTAACCGAAAGATAATTAGAAAGCAGATCTTCCAATTCCAAATCATGGTACACTTCAGAGCCAAAATGATTTATAAAATTAGTATTTATTTTGATGCTTCCTTCCATTTGCATGTTTAAATAATGCATTTTCCAAGAAATGCAAATTCACCCTATTAACATTCTGGAAAGTTTTCTTGATGTGATGCTAAATAATGTTTTGTTATTTTCTCCATTTTTCTAAAGCTATTACCAATGTTAAAACATGGGCATTAGATCGAGAGGTTTTCCAGAACATAATGCGGAGGACAGCTCAAGCTAGAGATGAACAATACAGAAACTTCCTCAGAAGGTAAGAATAATACATTGGGAGAAAGTGCAGCCAATGAGGTAGCCATAATGTGGATATGACTGTTTTATCAGAATATTTACTTTAATATAGTTTCTCCCATTTTCCACATTATTAAACCAAGGAGAAAAAGTATTTCCTTGCAATTAATGCTAGTATCAGTAAAAAGTATTACATTTGATTCCCATTAGCTTTGTGTATTGATTTATTTCTCTTGCTAATTTTTCCCTTGTATTCATGGAACCATAGTGTATAATATAGAAAAATGTACAAAAAATCCTAAAATATTCAACAGAGTGTTCACTAGACTGAAAGATATATGAAATTTGAAAGAGACTAGCAAAAAGTTAACCCTTCTAATATTGCTTTGCTTAGAATAATATTAAAATTAATTTAATTTACTATCCTTGCTTTAAATGAGACATTCTTTTTTTTATTCACATAGCCACACTGTCTTCCAAATTATTACATTATTTGTAGGAAATTAACTTGCCAAAAACATTACTGTACTTATCGTGATGACATAGATCCTTGAAACATAAATCATTTTGTGAAATATTCTGTACCTCAATGACTTACTTGAATGCATCAATTTATAGAGAAACAAATATCTATGTAATTTAAAAAACCAGTTCCAAATTAGATAAAGTTTTTGAAAATCTAAGTTTCTTAAACTACTTTTGTATCATTTGTGAGAGTTTTGATAGTCTCTGAATCTGTAGTACGTTCTGTAATGAAATGTTACTTATAAGTGTTAATAATACATTGCATAGTTTCCAAAAATAAATTCTAAGTTCTTCTAAAGTACAGCATAGTGATTTCATCTTGCATTATAAGCCTTTGAAGTCAGTGATTTGGGGGCCTAGCATATACTGAGAGCTCAATAAATCCTGAAGGAACACATTGTTAATCAGTAGGATATTGCAAGTATCAGTTCTCATATAGAATTGTAGTGATTGACCCTTTCAAGGGCAGTAATGGCTCCTGGCAGAGGGGCGATAATGACAAGCAGGTGCCTTATCTGATAGCCAGCCAGTGCTTAGTCATCATTTTGTGGGATCTCCCTGAATATAGGTGATCTCCAGTCCAACAACTGAGTGACACGGGTCAGCATTTAAAGCTAATAAGCCACACTTATGCAAGAGCCAATAAAGGATACATAAATAACTAGTGCCCAAAGGTTATGTTTGAACATCTGAGATAAAACCTAAACCACTATATGCAGAGCAGTTAATTCTCCCCCAAGTCCAGTATGTTCCTAGTGGAAGGAGCTAAGATAATGTACTAAGATACATTCCTTCTTTCTTTCCTTCCTTTTGATACTTCATTCATTCTTTCAATTTATTTCCAGGTAGAAAATATTGTAAACTCAGATGGTAAATAAGATAAACCTGATGCCTGCCTTCATAGACATACTAATATTTCCCCTCATATCTATTTCCTCACCATACCCCTAAGGTGACAGACTTACTAATGTTATAGATCCCAGTTTGGACCAGAAGTTAAATTTTCATACTAAGTATGTGTTAATCAAAGACAAGTTCTGGTTATCCTTTTATCATTTCATCAAGAGGGAGACAAACTAGCAAAATATATTTTTCTTTGTTTCATAATGTACAGTAAGCTCTCTTTCTTCATTTCCATTTTTATTATAAAATCTGATATATAAGATATGTGGTCCTTATGTAAATTACAAAATATTATGACACTAGTCATTTGATGACTGGGAATATAGTCAGAGGAAATGAAATAACTTTGTCAGAGAGACATGTGCATTTCCATGTTCATTGAAGCACCTAAGTGTCCACCAACCAATGTACACATAAAAAAATGTGGTACACATGTGCCATGTAGCCATGAAAAAAGATGAAATTCTGTCATTTGTGACAACATGGCTGGAAATGAGGATCATTATGTTAAGTGAAATAGAAAAACAAGAACTACATGATCTCACTCATGGACTTAAGAGTTCATCTCATAAAGTTGAGAGTAGCATGGAGGTTTCCAGAGGCTAGAGAGGGTAGGAGAAGGGAGGGATAGGGAGAAGTGGATCAGTGGTACTAAGGTATAGGTAGATAGAAGCAAGAAGTTATGGTGTGCTGTTGCACAGTAGGCTGACTATACATAATGAGAATGGAATAAGTATTTCAGAAAGCTAGAAGAAGGGATTTTGAATGTTTTTAACCATAAATAAATAATAAATGAGAAGATAAATATTTTCCCCAACTTAAACATTGTACAATGTATATACATGTACTGAAATATCACAGAGTACCCATAAATTTGTAAAATTTTTATGTTTTTATATATTCATTAAAATTTTAAAAATTATAGCAGAATAAATGTCCATGAAACTATTGCCCAATATAAGGAAAAGAAAATTAGCAGCATCCTTGAATTTCTCATGTGCCTCTTTATATCATTTCCTCCTGAATCCTCTCTCCTTGAAAGTAATCTGCATTTGAAAGTTTAGTGATCATATCTTTGTTTTTGTTTTTTTTTTAATAGTTTTGCCTATGGCTTGAACTTTATGAAAATTGTGTTATTGTTGCAACTCAATTTTTCACTAAGATTCATTTCTCCTATTGTAGAGTTTTATTACTTGGCTCTAACACTGTGTAAATGTCTGTTCTACACTGAGGTTTCTTCAGTGTTTTGCAATTACAAAGGATTCAGGTGCAAACCTTCTTATACATGTGTCTTGGCCTGTGCCTCTGGTGTATGTGTGCAAAAAGTCATTCTAGAGCTCTCTGCCTTTACAAACTCAGATCCAATTGTGCATTTTTTGGAGTAGCATTATTTTTTTCCTGTAGGGGTGTCACATTTTAGATGGTAAGAATAATTTATTTTTCTTATAGGAATTATATTAACAGTCCTGAATTAAAATGGGCAAAATAAAAGAGAAATTTAAGAGAACAATTGAATCATGTTGATAGATTAATCATACTGAAATTTCTGATATTTTAAAATAGTAGTTTTCAGCATTCTACTTCTCTCTATATTGTTATCTGTAACAATGTTCCTATTACATGCCTCTGGCTACCATTGATTTTTGAAAGGACAACACAGTATGACTAGTAATCAAAGGGCATTTCAATGTTAATTCCCCTGTTCCTCTGAATTCAGTCTTTATTTAATCACAAGGTTTTGGATGAAAATCTGATCCTCCACTGGAAGCAGAACTCCTCACCCAAACTAATAGAAAAGATACTGAGATATGGAAAGGAACACATTTATAGATGCTATTCACTTTGAAAACCAAAAACGACAGTCATGTGATTTTTCCTCTGTTAGAATATAATTTTCCCCTTTATCTTACTATTTTTATTTATTTACTTATGAAATTATACATATCATATTATGTAATTTCTAATGTGTATAAAATTCTGTTATTTATGTGTTTTCTGTTATTTAAAGGTTTACCTTGGAGAACTAAGAGCATTATAATTTTTAAATAAATATAAAAACTTTAGAATCTATATAATGTATATTTGTATATTTATAGTTAAACTCAGAAAGATATTTATATTAAGGAAAGATTTGTTTTGATTTTGAAGTGTATCCTTGCTGAAGAATTTACCAGAAGATAAACTGACCAAGATCATTGACTGTTTGGAAGTGGTAAGACATTTAAAGTACATTTCATTAGAGTTTAGAATCTGGTTGTGTTATTAGCACTGTAAATGAATAAAAAGGAAAAGACAGTAGATCACTATTCTGTAGAGACCAGAAACATTTTTCTTTTGTGAAAACTTAGGCTAACTCATGCTGAAATAAGAGGCTGGGGAAGAGTTAGATTCTTTTGAAATGTATAAAAGGAAATTGGATTTGCATGTGTAAAGTGAAATTTGATTTACATATTTTAATCTTTTTAGTATATTTTATAAAACTAATCTGCCTTACTGAAGAGGCATTTGATTTTTGTGCAATTAACATCACAATCCCTTACAGAGTTTTCGTAGTAGAAAGGAGTCAGTGAGGCATAATTAGGAAATGGAGCACAGAAAGGGCATGTTGGTGCTTCTGGTGACAAGCCTCTGAATCAGACTATGAAACATTGTATACTTGAACACTCTAGGCCAGGAAAATACATTTTAAGAAACTGTACTCAAGAAGCACTTTACCTATATTAATGTCTGAAGGAAAACCGCATTTTGGAATGTATTCAAAACTCATTTTAGGCATCACCCAGATGGTTGGTTCCAGTCCAAGACTCTTCACGTCTTTTTGTGAATAATACTTCAATGACACATACCTTGGATGCTAATGATATGCATCTTATGAAAACCTCTTCGGATTTCAGAGATTAAAATTCAAAGCAAATAACCTCTCTAACTTTCTTGGGGGTCAATTTCATTGAAACTAAAGTGGGTTTTATGGAATTTAAAGGAGGTAGGGAATGGCAAAGAAGTCACATGTAGACTTTAAGCTTTAATAGAGCTGTTCTCAGTGGGAGGAATATAAAAAAGCCCTACAAGGCTGATTGTTGACAGATTCATGCCTCTGTCAATCACAATATGCAATGTAAAATAATATCTGTTGAGAAGGGAGTAGGGACCATTTCATCCTTAAGTGTAAGTGACACCAGTAATGTTTCCATGTACAATTCATGGAACCCATCCAGCAGTTTATCTGGGACAGACCGTGATGACACAATGCCTGGCCTTGTGTCCCCATGGGGGTCAGATATGAAGTCATTTTCAAGAAGACTGCTTATCCTGCATCTCTTGGGATTTCCCTAATGTAATATAAACCAATCACAGATGTTATAAATTAATAATTCATCCCAATTTCTGAGGATTTTTTTTTAAAGCTAGAGAGGCCCTATATTTTTTTGTTAACCAAGGAAATCTGTTTTTAATATAAAACTAATAGAGTAGAGTCACCAGAGGGGAATTCCATGCTGACAGCAAATATAAAAATTTAGTATCATTAAAATTAAATGGTAAATTAGACATATTTAAAACAGCCATAGGCAATAGCTACAGAACATATAGATAGGTACTCAAATCCAGTATTAATTAGCACACAATTCAAGTTTGAGTCTCATCTTTTAAAACACCTTAGAAAAGCTTTACCATATCTAAGCATTTGCAGAAAACAGCACGTTTTATAAAAGGCTCTTTATTCATTACCTGGCAAACAAATGTGTCTCTGTAATGTGTGAAAATTCTCAGATGCAAAAGCAATGAACAAGGGAGTAATGGAATCTCTTTAGCTCTCAGAAAAGCACATACCTTACCAGCATAGCTTGGACTAATGACCCGTCCACATGGTCCGACAATGATCTATTCCTAATGCACCCAAGTTATGACAGAGCGCCTGCTGAGTTCTAGGACCAGCTGTACCACAAACTGGTTTCATAATCCTTGAGAAAATAGAATCTGTCATGCTGTTTAGGAGTTGATAAAGGGAGTTTTTAATCCCCATGTATACGTGTTTGGGAGGGTGTTGGGTGGACATGGGGGTGGGTATCAGAACTTTCCATCAAGAAGCAGTTGGCCTGATGTGTTTAAGATGTAGACTGTTGAACACTGTTGAGTTTCCAGACCCAATGGCCCCCATTGTGCAGTGCTCCAATAGCATTTCTGACTCTAGCTTAAGTCACTCAGATCATTTGGTTCTGGAGGCAGACATTGCCATTAAGCCTTTCTTCATGTTCTCATGGGGGAATGAGTGGGAATAACAGTAACACACTCACTGAGGTGCTTAAGATCGTGAAGTCATAGAGCATGATACAGATTTGGGATGGAGATTAGTGATTAATGATGCTGGAAACCATAGTGTGACTATTCCCCCTGCCATTATGCAGGACTATACAGGAGAGGAAGGGGTTTCTCTTCATATTCACAGATCAGTCCAGAAGCGTGGGATTGACTGTGCTGTCTGAGTTACAAGCCCCGTGATGAATCATGAGGTCACCTCACTGTTTGTTACAGAGCTCTGGTATTTGACCTAGTGGCCTTTCACAAAGTCATCTTTCACAAAGTCACAGTTGAGAGGGGGTGAGTGGATTTAGAGTAGTGTGGAATGTTCTTATCCTTCCTTCTTCAGACTTTGGGGGCCCTTTGAAAGTTAAAAGGCAGGTTCCTGGGTAACATCCTTCACTTACTGAATCAGCAACTTTGATAGAGGCCCCCAAATTCACATTTTTAACTTTTAATGTTGCGATACTTATGCTTACTAAAGTTTGAGAAACACATATATGTTTATGACTAGAATACATGTATTCAAATTTCCCCAGTCTGCCACTTCATATAGGAATTTTCCATTTTTAATCATTTTTTTCAAAATTTAGTCTTTCTTTCTTAAAGTTCCTAATAACAGTTGGATAAGCCAGACAGTTTTCCTCATTTTAATTATTATATCCTGAGTCATAAGAAAGCTGAGATCATTGTGGATTTTGCCAGTTTATGGACTAGTGAGTTAAAGGTGGGGCTGCTGGGAGTTGTACAAAGTTCACCAGTCCAAAGTCTGGAGACTAGAGTTTGTGGTCCTTTCTCTGTCACTACCAGCTGTCCATTAATCATAATGAACATATGTAATGAAATTTCTAGCTATAGTGTCCTCTCATTACAAAACAAGAGGGTTGTGGACCACATCTTTATGGGCTCTTTCATTGTTTATATTACTGAATTCTATGTAGTTGACTTGCTCAAATAGAAATAATTTCTGCTGGTTTTTATTTTGTAGGATCTAGTTCCTTGGCAATAACAAACCAGGTGCCAAATTAATGCTGAATGGTTGATAGGGTCCAGCTGATCTAGATGTATTTCCTTTAATATTTCAAAGATCGTAACTATTGTACTTGGAAAAAATTACTAATTCTCTATGTACCCAAGTTTGTTTAAACTACTTATACTCAAACAACTGTAAGCAGTTTTTTAAACAAACTTGAGAAGTAGAGGCACCGAGGGTGTGCGTGTATGTGTGTGTGTGTGTGTGCATACTACATCTTGTTGTAAATCATCAATACTTAATTGTAATGAGATTTCTAGCTATAAACTATATACCCTAAGGAAGTCTAAAATGCTTCTTTTTCCATCACCTTTGAGTTTCTTCTGATTTTATATAGTATTTTTATGGCCACTATATTTAGACTTTTGCTAGATTATCATAGCATAAGCATTTTATGTACAGCAAAAATAAAATCTTTCCACCTTTGGCTGTTGCTGTTTGTATAGTTGTCTTGGGATCTCTACCTATTATTCTATCCTGAAATTAATTGATTTTTTTTCCACACACTAAGTACCTACTCTCCAGGCTTCTTGACATCTTCTTTTAAAACATCTTATTCAGACTGTGGGTCACGAATCATTGCTCGGTCATGAAATCAGTTTAGTGGGACCTTTAAAAAAAATCAGAGTAGTAAGTATCATTTTGAAAACCATGCTTTAGTTTCATATAAATGTATGTGTTCATGGTATTATGTGTGTATTGAGTGTATATGTAAAATATATTTCTTACTGAAGGTAAGAATGAAAAATGCTTGAAAACTTTGCTCTACAGGTCAGGGTCTATGGCTTCTTGGTCCTCTGAGGGACCCCTCTGCAGTGTAACCACAAGGACAATAACCACACTGTTTGCATTTCTCTTTTTGGTCTTGGTGACCACCCTGGCTTGACTGGCGACTCTCCCTGGTTGACAAACACTGGGCAGTCCGGCATCACAGCCAGTACTTACCACTGTATATTTTTGGTCTGACCTATTTCCACAGCCTTTTCTGATCTATGAAGTTACTGTCAATACACTGGAAGGTATTATTTATCTTCCTCCCATGGTTTAGGGTGACAAAGAATCATCCCTTGGAAAAATACCACGAGGAAATTTGTCCCTTAAGAAACAATGAAGCTCTATCTCAGGTATCCTTTCAAGCTTTTCACTTCAAACTTACCTGGTTGACAGGAGTTAAAGCTGCACCTCTGTATGTACCAAAGGCTTAATAATAATAGAAGAAAAGCCTAGCAGCACCTCAAAAATTCTCCGTGTCCTTCTGCTCCATGTGGGCAATGGAGACTGAGATTGGGATGTGGACAAGAGAGACTGAAGTGCAGACTATTAGAAATGAGAATATAAAACATGACTCCAGCAGTTTTATTAAAGAGAACTGAACATTAGTTCGATAAAGACGGCGGGACTGTGGGAATGAGGTCATCCATAAGGGTCATAGTCATTGCCATTTTAAATTTAAGCTTGTCTACAGTGAATGTTTGGGATAAATATAAAATGAAGAAGAATGAAGAGTTAGAGTAAGTAAACTGATGCAAAGAAATTTACAAAATGGCAGGGGGAATAGTCACACTATGGTTTCCATCATCATTAATCATTAATCAGACAAAAATTTTGGTCTGACAGGTGGATAAATACAATTCTGCCTCCTGTTCATTTGACAGTCTAGGGAAGATGGCCCTGTGGACTCCACATAGTCATTCAGGACCAGGCTCATGACTACAAAGTCCTTCTGGGTTATACCATTAAAACTGGGGGAAAGTAGGAAGATACATACATGAAAGGGTTCTTAGACCTTTTTGGAAAAAAAGGTATACATCACCTTTGTTTTGATTCTTTTAGATAGAAGTTAATTATATGGCTGCAACTAACAGCAGGAGTATAATTTATCTGGATAACCATATATTCCTGTGGAAGACTCTGATAACTACCTTGCACTCTTTTTATGGGAATTAACAGTCACCAGGTGCCTGTTCTGTACCAAACATTCCACCAGATATTTTAGTACACTATGTATCTATAGTAGATATACAATATTAATTTACAGACAAGGGAACTGAGGTCCAGAAGATACACTAACTAAGCAAACATTATCCTCCTCTTCCTTAACATGGCAATTACTAATCAAGCATTTGCCATGTTTAAGATTATTTTAGTACCTCAGAAAACGTTATCTTTCATTGGCTTATTATGGTAGGCAGAATGGTTCCCCCAATATCCAGACTCCAATCCCTGAAATGTGTAAATATGTCACATTATCTGGCAAAAGAGACTTTACACAGGTACTAAAGGTTTGGGACTTTAAAATAGGAGATTACCCTGGATGGGCGAGGTGGGGTGAATATAATTCCATGAGCCCCAGAAATCAGAGAATTTCTCTGACTAAAAGCAGAAGTGGAAATCTGAGAGATTTCTGGGGTAAGAACTGGACCTGTCATTGCTGGTTCTGAGATGTAGGGGCCCCAGACAGGGGGACAACAGAGGTCTCCTGGAGATAAGGGTAGCTTCCACAGATAGCCAGTGAGGAAATGGGGACCACATCCCCAAAATGAATTCTGACAATGACCCGAATGAGCATGAAAGCCAATTCCTCCCCTCGCCCCTGGCATCCAGAAAGGAACACAACTCTACAGACACTTTGATTTTATGCCATTTCTGAGCTATGCTGTGGCTGGACTTTCTGACCCACAGAACCTAAGATAATGAAAGGGTATCATTCTAAGCCACTAAATTTGTGGTCATTTGTTTTCACAGTAGCAGAAAACTAATGTACTTTTTTAAATCTTTGAAGGTAAATGTTCTTATTATAATTTTATGGATTGATGAAAGTAAAATTCAGGGTAGAACTAGGATTTGAGTCCAGATCTGTGTGGCTTCAAAATACTTTTCTACCCTAAAATATCATGCTTCTTTCTATGAAATGTTGAAATGTCTTGTAAGATGTACATTGTGCTATGAAAATAAAAGGTATGTTTATTAATATTAAACAGTATTAATAAATATTGATATTTATAAATATTAAAATTAATAAATAATATTTAACAGTAATAATAAATATTTAGCAATGTTTATTCCATACATGTAAGTTGAGTTTAAGAGTAAATGACCAGAAAGGTATTTAAAAAACAAACACAGAAGTTGTTAAGTTTGAAATTATTTTCAAGTCTAAAAAAAGAGACAGGGAGCTATTATGTGTTAATTATATCTTTTTAAAAATTTAAACAATCCCATTTTTGTTTGTATAAATAATTAAGAGATCCATTTTAGTTGTATGATTTCCAGACAAGATACAATTAAAGCAATATAGAGACAGACAGTTTAATCTATCTTTTGTTTTCTCGGGTACTGAATTGCTCTTTTGGTCTGACAGGTGGATAAATTACTTTTCCCTACCCAATAATTCTCCAATCACACAATCATCTATAAATAAAGGAGGCATTCATACATAAAAAGAAGTAGGTGGTCATTTGAGATTTCATGAAGATGGAACTACATTTAAAAATAGAATTTATGTGTAAAAAATTCCAGTATCTTTATGATCTTTTATGATGATGAATCTTTGGAAGTAATATGTATAACAGAGCGATTTAGTGTGTATGTGCAATCGTCCCAGCAGATGTTGCTCTCCAGGAAATTAGAAATTGAGGTTGATATTCCTAATACCCATTAAGGGTGTTATTTTCAATTTATTATGTGATTGTTTGCTCTTTTCTAAATCCTGGACCTCGTTTTCAGACTGTTACCCATCACTGTGCGGTTTGTATTTAGATTATGTAGGTGAAAGTGCACCAGTGCATAGAGATCGCTGCCCTGCTTTTGCGTCTCCATACCTGAAATTCAGTATTCCAGGTGAATTTTTTTTCTGTGAAATAAAACATACAAGTGCAAAAGTAAAGTAAAAGTCACCTCTTGTACAGTTTATAATGGCGATGTAAGAAAAACAGATACGGTAGGCCAAAATTTAGAGAAACAGGTGTGGAGACTCATTTCAGAAACCCAAAGAGTCCTGTTTCCCTGTGTCTTCCTTCAGTTGTAATTTCTGCTGGACCTCACATCCTCTTTCTTTCTCATTCCAATAGGAATACTACGACAAAGGCGATTACATCATTAGAGAGGGCGAGGAAGGGAGTACCTTTTTCATTTTGGCAAAAGGAAAGGTAAATATTAATTAAAGCTTACTTAAAATAAATTTTTTAAAAATTAATCATTTTGCCATAAATGCAGCAATATTCTGTACTGCAGCATAAGATAGTCTACATTGAATGCATTTGGCGCTTCCTCCAAAAGAATCTTCGGGGGTCTGCCTGAGGGCTGGGTTTGAAGGTGGGTGCCACAGGAAACTTACGATGGGTTCCAGGTGAGATAGTCTCCTTTTAGTGACCTTATGCAGGTCACTTGACTTTCTTTGGATCTTGATTCCTGGTGTACAGTAGCTGGATGGTTTCTGAGGTTGTTTCTAGCTATGAGTATGTGATTCTCAATCAGCTCCAGGGTCCAAGAACAGGGCTAGAACATTTTTCTAACAGATGTGACAGGTGGCAAGTGGAGGGGAATGAGCTCAGCAGCTGGGGGTGGCAGTGGTCAGGCATTAAACTATAGAACCAATAAACTTGGAACTTAAATTTGTATGCAGTAGCTGAAATTGACTTAGATGCTGATGAAAATTTTATTTTTATTTACTTTTTTATTTATATAATTGTGGATTTAAATTTATTTTTATTTATATATTTTATAATTTTATATTGTTGATTTATAATATTTATATAATTTTATTTATATATTACATATAAAATAGGTATTTTTCTTTACCTAACTCTGAATAGATAAACTGTTGTCAGTTGTTCCTATGCTGACTCTTAAGGTTTGTCAGAGACAAAAAGCATTTATGAAATACTGAAGGAATCAAATCTCTTGAGCCCCTGTGTCTGTCAGATATTTTGTGTATGTTCCCTCTTCCATGAAAGAGAGAATCGGGCACTGCCTTTTGTAAACTGGTTTGTGGGTGAACTTTGAACTGGGCCCCCAATGAAGAAAAAACATGAACAAAATAGTTTCAAACCTCTTATTCGTCAACAGTGAGAACCACATCTTAACTACTTCTCCCCTACTTGGACCTATGCTATGAAAGAATTATTGCTAATTAACATGTTGTACTTACTATCATTATTTTTAATTTTTTAAATTTATTGTAACATACATGAGTGTCAATCAAAAATTCTAATCAGCATGAAACAACATTTATTACTGTGTTGAATTAAAATAATTCTAGCCACAGATATGAAATATTAAAGTTTTGTTTGGCTGTGCTAGAGGGTTTTTACAGTTTCCTGGGCCATGGGTTCACTTGGAGATGCCCACAGAAGCTGTGAACCATTTCCAACCCACATTTTGTGTCCAGTTTTAGTAGGTACATAGGATTTGGCAAATCTGTGGACTCCTGACTTAGGACTCCTGATATTCAACCTTATTCGTTTTTTGTTTGTTTTTGTTGTTGTTTGTTTTGGTGGTACTGGGGATTGAACCCAGAGCCTCATGCATGTTAGGCAAGTGATCTACTATTGAGCTACATTCTCAGTCCTCAACTTTATTCTTGATTAATTTGTCAATTCTTTTTAAGCTTTCTGGAGTAACAAAAGTTCCCACAGGACCATTATTATTTCCTTTGAGAATGTCTTGGAAGGAATAACTAGATTCACTTTCAAAAATTAACTTTAGGAGGTAGGGTTTAAGTGGAGAATCTTCTTCTTTCAGAGGGTAGTCCTTTGTGTTAAACCACAGGATCACTCATATCCATCAAAATGAGCTGAGTGTAGTTAATTGTCTTACTACTGTAAAATTAAAGGAAAATCTTATCTTTTCCCCCTCATTTATCAAGTTTATCTAGGTCTGGAGAGTTTGCTGGAATGGATGTGTCTGATTCTCCCCCTCCTTTTTAATCGATTAACATTATTTAGGTTAAAGTCACTCAGAGTACTGAGGGCCACGATCAACCACAGCTGATTAAAACACTGCAAAAAGGAGAATACTTTGGGGAAAAAGCTCTGATCAGGTGAGCCCATGAATCTATATGCCATACCTACATACAATGCTTAGACTGTTTTCTATGTGAAACTAGTCATTTGAAGTTGTCCAATTGAGCCACCAAATTAATGGCCTCAGATATTCAGGAATTAAACAAAAATGTTAAACTGCCTTCTAAAATTATCAGCTCATTTTGCAAGTCTTTGAGCAACTCAAAATAGTGCATTTGAGATTTCTACCTGAACCTTCAGTCTTTGAGACATAAGTTGGTTTACTCTTGATATGATTTATGGAAGAAATATTTTTAATGGTTAATCGAATGACTTGGATACTATGTACTTCCTAAAACTCATAAAACCTCATGACTAAAGAAATATATTTTCCTAAATGTAAATAACTTCATAAAACCTCAAAGTTTGGGCAACATGATGTTTTGGAATTACATGTTTTTAAGTGAATATTTGGAATTACTGGGGAATCACTTAAAATTTATGTTATGACTTAATGCTTTTATTTCAAATTGGTGTTTGAAGGAATGGAATAGTATTTCTGTTCATTTACCTTCTTAATTTTGGTTTATAAATCCCCAGTTCTACTGATTTGTATGACAGATTTTACATAATTACAGAGCAAAGGAAGATATTACCTGAAGATAAATCTCATCATGAAGATTTTTTAAAAGAAAACCCAAGTATTAAAGCTTAATAAATTAGGTTATAGCTATTATGTAAGCAACTTAAAAGTAGAATTTAAAGCCAAGCTAAATTTTTCTTTCCCATTTTCTTGCTGGTAATGAACTTGATTCCCTAATAGGGAAATTATCTTTCTTTTGTGCACTATCATAATGTAATATCATTATCTAAGACTTCAATGTATTTGTTTTCAGCATTTATAGGCTATTTTGTCTCATACTTCTAAGCAAAATAGCTTAAAGCTTGAAAGTTCAAAGGCCTTTATAAATGTAGTATGGAGACAAAATAGTTCTTGAAAGGAAATGTGTCATCTATTTTTGTAAGACCTGGAGTGATTTATGCTATATGTTGTAGCCAGCCAATTATAGTGTTTTTCTATGGACAATATGGGAATTTATGTTTACTATGGACTCACAACTTACCAAGGTATTTGAAAGCATAAAGTTAAAACCAATGGGAAGGAAAGTGGAGACAAACATTATAACATTTTTGTGGGTTGCTGCTGACTGACTCAATTTTCCTTTTATTCTGTATATTTCCACAAGTTGACATTTAAAAGTCCCAGAAGTTCTTTCAGAATTTCGTATGCAAATATAAATCCATGACACTTACACAGTACTACGAAAGAAATATGAGTGTGTTTATGAACATTAATATTTGTAAAGTGTTTGCAGAGACTATTCTCAGTGCCAATGATGACACCAACGTGTGAAAGGAACACGATATCTCTTTCTCAGAACTCAGAGATCAAATAGCTGGTCCACAATCCAAGTTCGTGTCTGTGTCTGTTCTGTTTCTATATCTACCTGGCTCTGTCTCTACTACCTCTTTCTCTGCCTTCACTACCTCTATCTCTATCTCCACTACCTCTATCTCTATCTCCATCATCTCTCTTTATCTCTGTCTAAATCACATTCATACAAGTTGAGCAGAAACTGTCCTGCCTTTGACTTCAAAGTTCATGAAACTCAAGTGTCTTTACTGATGTCTTCTTTTTTTTTTGGGGGGGGGGGGTTATTTTTTTATTATTATTTTTTAAATTTTTATTGTTGGTTGTTCAAAACATTACATAGTTCTTGATATATCATATTTTCTCATAAAGATCCTTTAAAGGGATCTTGGTGGGATGGAAGATATGTCAGAATGTCTTTGGATATCAGCTAGGCAGAGGGCACTTCTTTGGAATGGTAGAGAGGGGCTGCCCAAGTTTTCTGTGTCCTACCACTAAGAAAGGTGAAGGAGATTTGTACAATACTATATTTGATGAAGTTGACAGGAGCAGTCCTAGTAAGGTATTCTACCATTTGCTGCTACTGGTAGGACATCTTATAAATCTCTGAGCACTGGGTTCCATGTGGGAGAACCTGTTTTCATTTTCTTTAATTTATAATGAATAGAGGGAGGAAAGAAATAAAAATAAATCTCTGAAGAATATTTGCCTGATGCTTAACAAGTTGATATTCATTAGAAAATTAAACTTACCATCAGGTCATATATGACTACTCATCATATCTAAGATATTGATTGTAAGGTATTACCTACTCTATTATGCACCATTAAGAAAGACGATACTGCTAATTATCCTATGACTCATCATTGATTTTCATATATAAATTGATTTCAGAGATTTTAATGGATTTTAATGTATAAATACACATTTTCATGATCTGATACTGAAAACAATTTTCTTGGGTTTTATTTTTGATGGTTTTCCCAATAAGTTTCTTTGATCAGTTCATTTCTGTTTTGCTTCCTTATTAATTAGTCTTCTTTGATCAGGGGAGAGCTCTTTTAGTTTAGCTATCACAAAGCTCAGAATGATATTCCACATGCCCTTGCAGTCAGCAATTCCTCTACATTCTCAGTGCAATTATCTTCTCCTCTGCATTCCTTGTGTAGATGACCTTTATTGGGATACATTTTAAATTCTTGTGGTTTTTCTTTTGGAACGGGATTGAGTATAAATTAAAATGTTTTTTCAAAAGTATAGTTTTGGGAAGATGCTTTCATACAAAGTAGCAGATTTCCTAATCAAATTGGTGGTTTTAATTTCTAACTGCAGTGGAAACTGACTTTCCTGCTTTTGTCTGCAGTGATGATGTCAGGTCAGCTAACATTATTGCTGAAGAAAATGATGTCGCTTGCCTGGTTATAGATCGAGAGTGAGTATCCTCATGTTTGAGAAGGCAGACTACTGCCACCTTTGAAGACTTGGCCTTCCCTTACTCCCAGGGCGGATCTGTTTTCTCATTCATCACCACTCGGAAATGCTAGCCAGTCCTCAGCTGCAAGTACATTCTATTAAAATTCATGAGAAGGAACAGGGCCTTCTGATCTGAATGTGTCTGTGGCAGTGGCAGATGCTGGCAGGCTAAATATTTTGTGTGCAGAGTTTGTACATAAATATCAGCAATTGACTGATTTAAATTCTGCATCTCCCAAAGAAATAAGTTTATTAGTGTTCTTATGGATGTTTTCCATACAACGTAGTGAACAATTTTGTGATTTATTTCTAAAATGCCTTTAGCAGTCAAAAACAGTTTTGAATAAATCCTCTCTCAATGTATAAAATAGTCATTAGCTATTTATATTTCCAAACAAATTTTAGTCATTTGTAAGCAATGTGTATCAATATTGATGTCTAAATATCTTGGATTATTTTTCAGAATAAGTTTTATTTTGTTTCACTCACTTCAAATCATACTTTATCCTGGCATCTTGGATCTCTCATTAACCATTTAAATATTTACTGATTAATTACAAGATACACTAAAGGAAATTCTAATATAGTAGAGCTAGATCATTATCCAAATAAAGTCATTGTGTAGTCAAAGAAATAGGTCAGACTCACATGAAATATTAACAAAAAACAGTAAATTTACAAGAGGCATATAGCCAACTTCTGATTGAATACAGCATTTATTGAACATAGAATCATAAAAATGTAGAGCTGGGAAGAACTTAAGAATGTTTAGAAACCTTTTTATCATGGAAATTTACAAACATTAAAAAATAGAATGGCATCAGAACTCTACAATTCAAGTTCAACAGTTATCAGTTCATATCTTATCTATACTCTTCACCACTCTGTGACATCTCCACACCATTTTTAAGCAAATTCCAAATATAAAATTGTTGCAAAAAATTGGGGGCACCTCTAAAAGCCAAGTATTGACTACAATAATATTAACATGTCTAAATAGTGACTATAATTTACATGGAATTATTTCAATTCTTTCCCTTACAGATAAGAAAAGCAAATCCAAAGTAGGTTAAAGAATTGTACCAACAATGCCATCTGTGACTGAGCAGGGGTTACTGCCCAGGTTTCCAGATTCATCTCAACTTTCTTTCTCCAGCACATTTGGCTCTCATAGCACCTGCTCAGAAAGAAAAGCAGTCCCTATGCAGTCAAATAGTTAAGAATTTATTTTATTTTTTTAAATATGGAAATGGAGCATAAAGAAATAATAGGATTTTTCTTAGCAAAGAAGAAATTTAAAATTCACCCCAGGTGAAGTAAAACTCCAGAGCAAAGGCAGACAGCTAGGAAGTGAAAAGTGTGTTCAGATAGCACTCTTTGAATGCCAACTCTTAAACGGAAAATGATTTGGTATATTGTCCTAATAATACATTGTTTTGTTTGAGTTCCTTAAAAATATGTGCATGTGCTGAATAGCAATAGCTGTATGGAATAAATGCTCTAAAATGTTAGCACAACAAAATCTGAAAGAAAGGAAGGACTTCTTTCCTTCATTATAATCTCATGTACCACACATGTATGTAATATCTTTTAATCCATGAAAAACATGCATTGACATTATATATTTTACAAATTACTTGCAAGCTTATAATTTTAGGATGTTTACTTTACATATATCATTGAGAGTCTATAACATACACTTGGCATAATGAAAGATAAAAAATTACATGGATTTACTCTGTGGGTGAGAGATGTTGACTATCTGGTATCGCTAGTTTCACCTATAACCTGGTTTTCTTGGGACAGTTAGGGTTATCCCAACATATTTATTATTGGTATCTCATTTCATTCTGGAAAGTATTTCAGTTTGGATAATAAATGTTAGGATCATCTTAGCTATGATTTGGAGTAGATTAAGACCCCACAACACTCCCATAGTCCACTGTTTTTACCCAAATCATACCATTATTCACACTTTGTTTTACTTACCATCTCTTGCTACTCTTTTGTAAGCTTCACGAATACAGAAACATGTAACTGCATTGCTGCTGCAGTTCCAGCATCTGATGTAGTCCTTGGCATGTGGGAAGTGCTCACCAGGTGGTGGCTCAATAGAGGGCATCATCCTTGCGATGAGATGCAGGCACGGAAAGTCTATGGATTCTTATTCTTTCCTTCCTAGTCCATGGTTTTAATACATGATTAGAATGATTATAGTGCAAGAAGAATTAGAATTTGAGGGTTTCCTGTTTTTAAAGTGTGATAAACCGTGAAATAACCCTGCTTTAAGATCTCTAAACAAATGGAAGGTGTATGGTGACACCACCATCATTAATTTTTGAGATAAATCCCAAAGGAGTTGGTTAGTTACTGTAACATCTGAATGAGTACAGGCTGTTTGTAAGTTACAGCTATAATGTTGCAGCTCTTGAAAGAGTGGTTTAAGATTAGGTAGGAAAGAACCTTTAGGAACCCATGACCCCAGTGTCACAACATGAAAAAAATAAGATTTGTTTATAACAATAGTCTAGTGGCAAGCAAAAAATTGGTAAAGGAAGAGTAAATTAAAGGAAAACAAAGTACAAGAAATATTTCCTTTATTTTATTGTTTCTTTATATATGACAGTAGAGTCCATTTTGATATAATTGTACAAGCATAAAATATATCTTATTGTAATTAAGACCCAGTCTTATGGATGTACATGATGGTGAGAGTCACTATGCTGTATTCATATATTCACATAGGAAAGTTATGTCAGAGGACTGGGGATATAGTTCAGTTGGTAGAGTGCTTGCCTCCAAACACAGGGCCCTGAGTTCAATCCCCAGCACAAGAAAGGGAAGGGAAGGGAAGGGAAGGGAAGGGAAGGGAGAAGTGTCAGATTCTTAACATTTCCTTTTTGTTTGAAAATTTCAATTATTAAGGAAGTTAGAAATTCCATAGCAATATTATTTTATGTCCCATTACTGTACATCAACAAAGGTCAGTTTATAGTAAAGGGTAGAAGAGAGTGGGGAGTACATCTGAGGAGAGGAATGAAAAATACCCATTCCAGTGTGTAACACATATTGACAAATGGAAATATTGATTGGCTGTCAGCAAAATGTGTACAGAGGCATTAAGTTGTGACACTGTATTATTGAGGTGTTACTGGTTTATTAGTTTTAGGTATGTTGAGGCCCATTTTATTCTTTTTATTCTATTGTGTACCAGACACTTAAAATGATACCACAATGGTGAAAGTGGGGTCTCTATCCTAATAATCACAAATCAAGGCAGATTGTTAGATACGGTATAGGGAAACTTTGGAAGGACATTCAATAAAACTATCCTTTCTCTTGTGAGGAAGGGGTTTCATTTTTCTCACAGACAGTGGAGTACGTAAGAATTTCTAAAGACCGTGAACTGGGACAGGGAGATTAGGTCAGGCACAGGACAAGGCTGTGGTCTATGAAGGATGAGTGAGGTCAACCAGATGAGCCTCAGACAGAGAACTATGAAATTCAGGTAAAAAGAAATTATGAAGGAATGCAAAATGGGGAGAATTATCAGAGACAAAGAACAAATAAATTTTGCCTTCGATTTTAAATTGTTACTTAATTAAGCAAAAGTATTAAAATCTGTAACCCCTATAAGCTATTGATTCAATAAACAGATCATGTAAGCTGTTTCTTCTCCACTGTCTTAAAACAAATGAAAAACTACTTGTTGGCAAACTAGAACTGCAAAGCAGAAAACAATAGAAATGCTGTCTCTTCTCACTGGTAGCCTCTTTAGCTTGCATGAACTCAAAAGCTCAGTTATAGAGCTTTCAGTAACTAGGCCACATGTTACAACAATGTTAATATTCCATAAATTATTGAAAAACAATTGACTCCATGGGTAACTATATACATATTCTTGCATGAGTTTAAGAAGAATGTCAAGTTACTTTGGTACTATTTTGCTTTATTTTATTCTATTTTATTTTATGTTATTCAGAACATTCAATCAAACTGTTGGGACATTTGAAGAACTCCAAAAATACCTGGAAGGGTATGTGGCGAACCTGAACCGTGATGATGAGAAAAGACATGCCAAGTAAGTGGGGGAACATCCTCCCAAGAGAGATCTGACTTGTTGGGAAGTCAGTAGATAAAGAAGAAGACATGGGAGTTCGATTGCCTACACAGTAAACAGTTAATGTGCCTTCACTAGAAACTTCTGGGGAGCTCTTTTTAATAATTCTTCCACAAACAAGATACTAGAATGTCACTAGAATGATGATTAGTTAAGTCTCTGAATAGTCAGCAGCTTTATTTTGCACAATGAATAGAAATTTTAGGGAGAAATTTCCTGGTAAAGGGAATTCTTTACGATGGTAACATCTCAAAAGGACATTTATACTAGATTACAGGTAAAGAGTAGGGTCATAGTTTATGTTTTTCAAAACGTAAGGGAGCTATTGCCTAGATAATTATATGTATGGAGGAGGAGTTGGGTAATAGGGATGTAGTAATAGGGATGAATTAATATTATTTGATAGAAAATCTACATTTTTAAATGATTTGTTGTTTTGTTTTTTGCTAAAACACTTCTTATGTTTCTTTGTTTATTTTTTGCTGTGTTGGGGATTGAACCCAGGGCCTCATGCATGCTAGGCAAGCTCTCTACCATTGAGCTGTACCCTCACCCCTTAAAACATTTTTTGAGTGAAAGCTTAAGCATATGTGCAGTAGATAGTGCTATTGAAACTGTATATTCAAAATTTCTAGAAGGCCGAGGTTGAGTTAAATTAGAGCATTCAATCAGTACCTAACAAGATTTTTTTTTTTTGCAAGGAATGCATTTGCAGTTTTTACACCAAAGGCCTATTGTACTAACAGCTTATGAATATATAACTGAGAGCAGTAAGTCTTAATTGAGGCATAAAATGGTTGTTTCCACAATTCTTAAGACATAAAGTGAGAAATGTACTTTTCACATTTCAAAAATCAATTTTTCTGGGTAAGCCATGGAAACTTCAATATCTGACAAAAGGAGCAAACTATGGCCAAGATCCTCAGTGTGGCATTGTCCTATATGTGCAACAAAGAGAATGGTTCTGTGGTTTTATTGCCTTCTATTCACTCCTTTTCTGGGTTGTTAATAGTTTTATTGTGGTATGTTTTAAATGCTATTCACTTTTATTTATTTATTTATTTTTGGTACTGGGAATTGAACTTGGGGGATTGAACCACTGAGCCACTTCCCCAATTTTCTTTTCTTTCTTTCTTTTTACTTTTTAATGAGACAGAGTCTCATGAAGTTGCTGAGGCTGGCCTGTAACTTGAGATCTTCCTGCCTCAGTCTCCCTAGTCACGGGGATTGCAGGCAAGTGACACTATGTCTGGCTAAAATTCATCAATTTTACCTTGATGATTCAATTCTGTTTTTGTCTATTTCTTGTTTTGTGCATATGAGGGTTTTTGGTTTGTATGTTCCATTGTTTTTCTTCCCAGATGTACCTGAATCTGATCCTATCAAAGTTGAGATAGCCTTCGAAGCAACCATAGGCAGTGTTGCGGGCAGTTGTAAGACTATTTAAGAGTGGAATTTATGAGAGGCATGGTGCCTGCCTGACTAAGGGTATGTGTGTAAAGTTTCACTTCTTTTGTTCAGGCGGTCCATGTCTAACTGGAAGCTGTCCAAAGCACTCTCTCTGGAGATGATTCAGCTGAAGGAGAAGGTGGCCAGATTTTCCTCATCATCCCCCTTCCAGAACCTTGAGATTATTGCAACACTGGGCGTTGGTGGGTTCGGAAGAGTTGAGCTTGTAAGGGGTTTACGTTTCAAGCATCTGAGAGAAGCCTGTTGACTTTTTTTGTTTTATATTCCAGCTTATCTCTGAGGATCATGTGAATTATTATTGCTATCTTAAATTTTGTTTTGAGCTGAAATTGAGAAAGTAAAATTTTGAATCTGCATATGGTATAGTGGCAGGTCTGTCTTAGTAACTTGTAGTAATGAGCTGTTATTTCCAGCTTCTTACATCAGATCCTTTAGTGAATTTGGTCTTGATGGTAATTATTGGAGAATGTACTAAGTAAGCATTCCCAAAGGCTGTAAAATGTAAAAACTGTATTTCCTAATGGCAAAATATGTATATATAGATATATATATAACCACAACACATGAGCTCTCTATACACAAAGGAAGAGAAGAATGTGTCCTGCAGAAATGCTATAGAAATGTGATCTTTAATATTATGGTTAGATCCCTTAGACAACTCCACTACCGTGTCTGTATTTGGCTTTCATTATCTTATTTTGGGTTGCCCCAAATTTTCCATCAGAAAAAAAGGAAATAAGATGAATGCAAAATGATGTTTGAAGAGCAGCCTTCTGCAGTGCTGAACAAACAGCTGGAAACTTACATCCTGATTTCAGTTGTGTCCTCCATATCACCACCTCTATGTGCTTAATAATCATCCTCCAAGTTGTAGAATAACAACAGATCTGGTATTCTGAGGAAACTGTAGAATGGAAATCTGTGACCTTTTTGGTTACATATGATTCCGAGCTCTTGGCAATTACCAAGCCCATCAGAATTTTAACAATGTACTGTGTATTGACATCTGGGTACTGTGCTGATGATGTCTCTGTCTGCCAGTTGGCCCTGGGCATGAACAGATCTGAAATCCTGCCAGGGACCCTGGATAACACACTTCACACCCAGTTCATACCTCATCTCTGACGAATGAGAGGGGAAATTGGTTTCTGAACAGAGGAAGAATATTCATGATGTCTCTTATGTCATATGAAGAGACAAGGGCAATATCCATCTGTAGTGTATTTTCCACCAAAGATCATGGCAAAAGGATTAAATTAGCAATGCTGAGATGTGTTTCCTCAGATAACAATTATTGAAGCAGTATTTCCCCCTGATTTAAAAGTTATAGGCAGTACCAATGGTAAACACAATAAAATATGGGAAGAAGCCATTTCTGTACAACCTCGTTACTTGTCCAGTATAGACCGTTTATGAAGTGTTAAACCTATCAGGAAAAATGTTTATTTTAAAATTTAGACTTTCCTCTTAAGGGAAAAGATTGATTTTATACCTAGAGTGGCACTTTCCAATAGACATTTCTATGATGATGGAAACGTCCTATATCTGTGCCATCCAGTCAGGTAGCCAGTAGGTGTATGTGGCGTTGAACTTTTGAAATGTGGCTATTGCAACTGAAGAACTGAAATTAAAATTTTAATTAATTTAAATTTAAATAACCTCATGTGATTACTAGCTACTGTACTGAATGGTGCAAATAGAGAACATGATTAAATTTGTTTTCCTTGGAAAATCAAAGAAATAAATATTAAGAAATAGGAATTTTTGGCCATTCTGGTCCAGGTTTTTTCTGTTACATGATCAAAAACAATTGATATCTAAAGATTAAGACTTCTAACCATGTTTTCTTACTTCAATACAAAATTTTAGAATCAGATATATGAACTACTTGAGAAATTGTGATGAAACTGAGTCCTAGAGACCTAAGTGGCTAAAAGCTTCCATTCTCTTTAAATGTGAAACAGGTTTAACTCTCAGTAATTATCATGTTTTAAACAGATATGGCAAATTATTGTTAAGTCAATGTTGAGGATTTTTCTATTTATTACATAGGTTAAAGTAAAAAATGAGAATGTTGCTTTTGCTATGAAGTGTATAAGGAAAAAGCACATAGTTGACACTAAGCAACAGGAGCACATCTACTCAGAGAAGAGGATTTTGGAAGAGCTGTGTTCTCCGTTCATTGTGAAGTAAGTGAGCCTTTGATCTCCCAGGACTTGGAGTTTTAGGCTCTTCTTTCGAATGTTTCCATATAAGAGGTCAGAAAGAAAAGGAGGAGACATTACTCTGAATTAGCCAATGAAATCTTGGATCAGAGTTTCCAGTTGTTTTTATTCTTACAAAAGCATGTTGTTTGTGTGTGTGAATACAAAATTACTGCAGAGTAACTTGAACTGATTATTTTATCCAGACCTATTGTAGAATTTGGAAATAGGGAATCAAGATGCTATAAGAAACCCCTCAGAGGGTGTTCTGATGTTGAATTTCTGTAGGAAGGGCACCGGAAGTTACCAAAGGAGAACATATCCTGGCCCTCAAATGCCTATGTGCCAAAGGAACCATTTTCTGATAGTTATTCTTTTTTCTGTAGCTATCCTCAGTGTTTGGAGGGGAATTTAAAATTATTCTAGGCCATAGCTCTCTTTACTTGTGAATTCATGGGTTAGTGATATTAAGCGAATTTATATTTTCTCTAAATGCCCCAAACTGTAGTTTTTGTGATTTCTGGGTGATAGACAGTGTCCGTATAATGAAGACAATTTGTACTTTTTGATCAAATACCCTGAGAAGATCTTTCTATTTATCCATATCCCTAGACCCATTTTTGCAAGGCTAAAAATTAAGTCTGAACTCAGGTAATATTAACAAAAATCATCCAATTACCTTTTATTATGCTCCCAGAATGCCCCTTTAAAATTAATATTTCACTAATGACCTATGATGACCAGCTTCAGGGAATGGATTAAGTTGTATTAAGTTTTTCATTTCTAGATCTTTGTGATATACCTGGCAAATAATAGGGCAATAATAATATACTAAGAATAAATATAAATGACAACATTTGTATAGTGAGAGATTAACATGCACCTCTTCTAAGCCAAAAATATAGGAGGAGGAAGTAGAAGAATCACAACATTTCCTTCACTGGTCCTTTAGGAGGATCAAATGAATATGAATAATTTTCAGTAAATATTTATCATCAACAATATATACAAATAATATATAGTCAAATGAATATATAATCTCTCTCTCTCTCTCTCTCTCTACATATATATATATATATATATAGATAGATAGATATAGATATAGATATAGATACAGATATAATTTTTTTCACTGAAAACCAGAGATCTGAGACTGCATAACTAATATGTGTCTGATCTGGGATTTTAGCCTGAGCCTCTTGGTTGAGCTCACTCTCTGAACCGCTTTGCTAGGTCTGCAGAATAATGAGCTGCTTTATTAAGAGGTATAGTCTTGCAGAGTAGATAAAACTTTTACAGTGAAATGGAAGACATTTCCTCTGTGGGCAGAGGGAAAGCAGTCTGAGTAAAGGGATCCATGAGCAAAAGCACAGCAGTAGGAAAGATGAAAGAAGCTTTGGCTAGAAGCCCAGTGTAGCTGCAGGACATTCGTATGGAGATGAGGGTCATCATTCAAAATGTTATTGAAGATAGTCTTAAGCGACTTTAAAGAGCTTTAAAAGCTATATTTCTAATCATAACCATGTTTTTATCTGTCTTTGCAGATTATATCGTACTTTTAAGGACAATAAATATGTGTACATGCTTCTGGAGGCCTGCTTAGGTGGGGAGCTATGGAGTATATTAAGGGACAGGTAATGAACAAGCATTATAAGCAAGAGCTTTCTTTACTCATGTCAGTCTAGGGATGTTGGATTTAGGAACATTTAAAGAGGCACAGAGGAAATGATTTGGAAATTATTATAAGAAAATGTTATCGCTTGATAAAGTATAGTAGGAATAGTCTATTAGCTGACATTGCAGTCATGTCATATGCACCCTGTGAAGTAGTCAGTTTTAGGCAGTAAAGAATCCCAGAGACGGAGAACTATCCAAGGTCTCATGGTGAGTACAGGGCAGAATCAGGGCATAAACTCAGATGTTTCTGATTCCCAAACTTAAAGAAATGGGGCCTGGTAGGGAGTCGTTAAGACCTCACAGAAAAAAAAAAAAAACAGTGTAAGATGTCAACAAAGGTTCAATTTTACTAAAGAGGTGGTTTCATGCACTCAAACCACAGATACATACTAAGCACCACCTCTGTAGAAGACTCCATAGCAGACAGTATGGAACTTTTCTAGATGATATAGAGTTTCTATCATAAAGAATAAAAAGTATTAACTGTTTTTCTGACACATCAAGAGTTCATTTGGGAAATTATATGATTTTTAAAACGTTTCATAAATATGAACACTAAATAGTAACAAAGAGGTTTGGCAAATTGTAATTAAATAGCAAATGAGTTTTGTAGACTGTCAGCTCAGAGGCGGGGAGGGAGAGAAATGCATGATGACAGAGGAAGGTTTTGAATTAAATTCTAAAGATGACAAAATCTTGGAAAGTCAGAGCAGCAGGAAAATACAAAGTAGAAAAGTTGACTTGGTACTAGGTCTCCTTATAGTTAATGAACAGAATTTCAGTAGGAAATAAGGGTAGTGAAAGAAAATGGAAAGGTAGGCTGGCATTAGATTGTGGAGGTTACTGCCCAGCAGACATTCTGACAGCCTTACCTGGGCCGTGGACCCCAACCCCGGCTACACTTACAATCATATGGGGGAACTTTTACAAGGAAAAATGCTGGGCCATAATGCCAGATGTTATGATTTCATTTCATCTGGGATGGTATCCAGTAATTTTTTTTTCATGCTTGTTAGACAATTCTAGTGTACATTCATGACTGAGAATCGCTGACCTTGGAACATATATTGTTGGATGGATTGGGGAAAACCTGGAAGGATGAGGAAACTTTAATGATGCTGCTGCAAAAACATTAGTCTTTGCTTCAACAGTGGAATATATATAGAAAATCTAAACCTACTTATGAAAGAGAGTTCCTACAACCTGTTAAGTACCATGCTCAATCCTAAAACCAACATTACTAATTAAGGAGTAAGCCCATTTTACTGCATAGATTCTGCATCTTAGAACAGTTAAACAACTTGCTCAAGGTATAGTGAGCAAAGGAAACAGGAATCAAATCCATTTTCTCTCACCCCAAAGCCATAGTCTTCTGATATACTAGGGGGTGAATCACCACCATGTTTAAAAAGATTCAGAGTATAATTTTGCTTCTCACTATGCTGGTACAAGGTAACTCTACTAAAAGATTGAGAGACATCAAACAAGAAGAGTTATGGCCCCTTTCTACCTGGGTTAGTATTGTGTGCTGTACCCACAGGAAATTAAAGTGACCACTTGAGCCATTCTTTAGTCAAGCAATAAATTGCTGAAGTCTCTTTTAAGCTCTCCACTGAGATAGTTGCATTTTCTCCAGAGTGTTCCACAGAGATCTAAAGAACTCGTTGTTTCCTTGGTTTTCTATTTTATATGTTCATGTATGATTATCAGAAACAAGTGCTTGGATAAAGATATTTTAACTTTAGTAAAGTTGTTTAGTTTGCCTCAAGTAACCTTCTCAATTTCTTTATCACCAGTAAACATCCTAATTTTATTGACAGTATAAAATACATTTTGATATTGACACAAAATATTTATATTACATATTTGTACTAATATAATAATTGAGACCTAGAACAGTAGAAAGGACATGTGTCCAGGATACTGAGAATGAAAATTATTTCATTGCAGAGGCAGCTTTGATGAAGCCACCTCCAAATTCTGTGTCGCTTGTGTGACAGAGGCATTTGATTACCTGCATCGACTAGGTATCATCTACAGAGACCTGAAGCCAGAAAACTTAATTCTAGATGCTGAGGGTTACCTGAAATTGGTAAGATAAGTTCTTTCATTTACAGAGTCACATGAGATATTTACAGAACAAAGTTGTGTTACAATTGCAATTTTCTTTTTAATTTTGGTACAGCTATTATTTTCACTATGGGGGATATGGCCTTTGAAGTTGGCACACTTAGTACTGGGAACACTGTTATGAGTACATTCTCTTTGTCCTGTGAATTTAATGTTCAACCATATTTATGACTCCTACTGAAGATTCTCATAATAGAATGCCCTTAATATTGTATTTTATTAGTATTTTTAAAATAATTTAACTAGGTTTTAATTTATTCATATAAGGACTGGCTATAAGAAATAATGAAAGAAGATAGTATATCACTTCTGCTCCAGGACACCTGCTGTCTATATAAGGAGAAAAGATAAACATAACTGTTGGTAGTCATTTTGAAATCTTTCCAGGCAATTCTAATGGGCAACCAGGATTGAAATCCTGTTAGACTACAGGCTTCTGAGGACAGAGACTCCCTTGCTGTCCATCTTTGTGGCCCATTGATGTCTAACAGGAACTTCCTTATATGTTACAGTAAAGAATAAAAGAAAAGTGAAACTGCTTTCAGTGAGAAACTACAATACATCTGGGTGGTGGTAACTGAGGAGAAGCCAAGGCACTTTGGACCTAAGAAGGAAACCCCACAGGGTGGGGAACCAAGGCTGAAGTTTTCTAGGTCTTGATAGTCTCTCAAAGACATTCAAACCATCTCTGAATATTAACAAAGATATCAAAAGTCACCCACCCGAGACCTTTTATATAAGGAAATAATAACATTATTTACTGAGCAGTTATATGTGTAAAGATACTATACTAACCTTTGACAATTAATCTGTTAACAATCTGTGAGACAAGCTTTATCACCAATACGTTATAGTTGTGAAATTCAGCCATAGGAATTAATTTTGTTATGTGTGATGGCGACACCATCTCTCCCCATGGTGAAGGAGGAAAAGAGAAGCCCTTTCATGTGATATTTGGCTGACTTCCAAGAGATATTTTGATCTAGTCAGGTTTTATTTTATCCATGAAAGACAGCTTTGAGAACTGGTGAGGTACTAACACAAGGCTTCAATCATTCTTATTTGTGATTCCTTCATTGGTTGTATCTCCTACAGCTCTTTAAGAAAAAGCTTTGGAGTATCCTAGAAGTAAAACCATCACAGGGCTTGAAGGCTCTTGTCCTTCTCAGAGCTGTTTTACAACAAAAATTGGTAGCATAATCAGTATTTATAATAATGAGTCTGTTCACCATTGTGTCCATTCTGCTAATTCATTTGCCAATGACCTAAACAAAGAGTAAGAACTAAAGCCTGCAGAGGTTAAAGAGTAAATGTTGAATGTTTCCATTTCTAGCTATATATTAATCTAGATATCCTGAAATCCTCTTTCTACAAAATGTCTTGATGAGTGGTGTTTAATAAGCTTTAATAAGTCTGAAAATACTAGGTGAGACATGGAAAGCAATGTTCCAACTGCATGATTGTTCACAGCACAGCATGGGAGTTCCCTGGGGCTGGCAATAGTGGGTGGTGGAGATCCAACACTGAAGCTGCCATCTTGTGTGCACCAGCAGCCTTGGGTCGCCTAGAGGTTTGATTTTAGTAGCTGTGTCTTCTGGGAACAGCAGACTAAGCTTTGGACCTGGGCAATGTGGGAAAGTTGAATCAGAGAACATTGTATAGAGCCAGGAATCACACAGATTAAACTCTAAGAGAAAAAGAAAATAAGAAACAAATATCAAATTTACAAAGACAGAGTACATGCAAGGAAACATGCTTTTCTCATTATTGGCTCTTGGTAGAGGCACAGGAAGGGTCTCGTCTAAGAATTCTTGGCCACAGGCTAGTCTTAATGGAGAGATTGGGGTCCAGTCTTCAAGGATGGAAAAATCCAAGTAAGAATCTAAATGAAAATAGATCCAGGTTGGTGGCATGCCCAAGTCCCAAGAACCAGTGTATATTCTCTTTGGAAGAATATACTTTTAACTCCAGTCACAAAGAACTCTTGTAGATAAAGTTCCAGGGAACATGAGCTCACATTTTAAAAATAATAAAATAAATGTATAAGGAGGAAAAAAGCTACCATGAGCATTAATTTTCCGAAACAAAAAGAGCAGAAGGAAACACATGAACTCCTCCTATATTGGAGTAACTAGGTACAGAATGTACAACGAATACATCTGATGTGTCTTGAAAATAAGAGTGGGATAAAAAATGAGTGAGGAGCAGATGTTTCCAAAAAAATATCCAACAGGTTTTTGGGGAAAAAAAACTAGCAAGTAAAGCATCTATTAATAAATTAAGAGTATAATAATTGAAATTAAATGTGCAATGGAAATTTTCATTAATGGTTGAATAGTTTGCACTGCACTGTCCTCTTGGTGAGATTAATTATGCATATAAACATGTATGAAGGCATTGGAGAACAATAAAAAGTAGATAATCAGACCTTGAAAAGGGGCAACACACTAGGTGAGATCCACAGTTAAACAATTTATAGCCAGGCTTGGTGCACAAGCCTATAATCCCAGCAGCTCAGGAGGCTGAGGCAGGAGGACAGAGAGTTCAAAGCCAGGCTCAGCAAAAGTGAAGCGCTAAGCAACTCAGTGAGACCCTGTTTCTTGTTTTTGTTTTTGTTTTTTAAATACAAAATAGGGCTGGGGATGTGGCTCAGAAATCTGAGAAGCCGGTTTTCAGAAATGGAGTTTTTTCTGAAATTCCCATGAAAATTCAGAATGTTTAGAAGTGTCAATAACTACTTTGTAAAATAATAAAATTGAAGAATTTATATTATCTGATATGAAGCCTTACTATAAATATAAAGCTGTAGTAATCAAAACACTATGGTACTGGTATAAAGATAGACAGATAACTCAGTCTAGTAGAATAATGTCCAGAGATAGATACACATAGTCAGCAAAAGAGGATATGTTAGTGTCTTCAGAAGGCATTGCTGAAACAACTGTAAAGCCGTAATAGCAAAAAAAAAAAAAAAAAAGAAAGAAAGAAAAAGAAAATGACCTGATTGTACCTCTTACTATATGTAAAAATTATTTCAAGATTGTTCATAGACCTATAAACCATTTAGAAAGTAAACATAATATGTATTTTCAAAACTTGGGATAAGCCGAGATTTCCTAGAACACAAATAATATTAATCTTAAAAGAAAAAAAAAGATGAATTGAATTTCATTAAAATTAAAAATTTCTAGCTGGGTGCAGTGGCACATGCCTGTAATCCCAGCAAGTTGTGAGGCTGAGGCAGGAGGATCACAAGTTTGAAATCAGCCTTAACAAACCTAGCAAGGACATAAGCAATTTGTAAGAACCTATCTCAAAATAAATGTAAAAAGGACTGGGGATGTGGCTCAGTGGTTAAGGGTCCCAGGTTCAGTCTCTGGTTCCCCTCCCAAAAAAGAGTAAAAAAACATTAAAAATTTATGATTGTGAAAATACATGGCCAAGAAAATGGATTATCATGTCATAAACTAGAAGAAAATATTTTCAATATATATTTAATTGACAAAAGGCTCACAGCCAGAATACATAAAGAACATCTACAAGTAAATAATAAAAACTTGAGCTACTGTATTTTAAAAATGGTCATGAACCTTGAAGAAACACTTTATAAAGGAAAGTATGAGCATGATCACTTAGCCATATCACTAATTATCAAGTAAATAAATATAAATTAAAACCACAAAGAAATACACTTCACACCTAGTAGAATTGTTATAATTAAAAAGATTGACAATATCAAGTGTTGGTAAGGATGGTCCCCTACACTTCTGATGGGGATAAAAACTGAAATCACAAAAGAACAGTTAGTTTCTCATGGAGCCAAACATACCTATTCTATGACAGAACATTCTACTTCTTAATATTTACCCAGGAAAACTGAAATCAGAGCTTCAGATATATTGGGAATCAATGCCCATAATAAGCTTATTCCTAACAGGCCCCATACAAGAAATAGCTCACATATCCATCATCAATTGTATGTATTTACATACAGTAGTACCTTCAGCAACAAAACTCAGTTTAGTGATAAAAAAGGAGTGAATTTCTGTAGGCAATAAAATGAATGAATTTTAAAAACTATGTTAATAAAAGAAGCCACACACATACATGATTACTATAAGAGTTGTATAGTATGTGTTAGAAAGCAATATAATAGATGTCTGTGGGAGGAGCATTTGATTGGGAAAAAGCATGAAGAAATTTTCTGAGATAATGGGAATGCCTGTATCCTGAATGTATATATGGTGGCTGTGGTTATATGAGTTTAATCTGCATGAATTGTATACCAAAGATGTGTGCATTTTATTACCTGTCAATTGTATTCAATTTGGAAAATGTCATGGAAAGGTTAAATAGTAGATGATTAGCACAAACAGAAAAATCAGGGAAATGAAAGAAAAAGTGATTTATATAGAATGTAGCATAGAGACATAATAGAAATAAAAGAAAGGAATGAAGAAACTTAGAAAAGTTTCTTTAAAAGTTTAATTGTACTCCCAGACAAAAATAATATAGAGAATGAGGGGAAAGCAATATTTCAATAAACCATGACTGAGATTTTTCCAGAAATCATAAAAAGACAGCAATCAGGTAAAGGAGTCCAAATTCCAGATCATATTTCTTCAAGCTCTTGTTTTGTTTAACAAGTCACTTCAAAACTTAATGACTTAACACAGCAATAGCCTTTTACAATCTCACAGTTTCTGCAGTTTGGGAATTTGGAAATGTTTAGCTAGGTGATTCTGACTCCAGGTCCCTCATGGAGTCTTGGTTAGATGTTGGCTGGGGCTGCCATCACCTGGAGGCTTGCACATCTGCTAGGGCTGGAGGATCAGTCCCAGTGTAACTCATTCATATGGCTGGCAAGTTGGTGCTGGATGTTGGCTGGAGGCCTTCATTCTCCAACAGGCCTCTTCACAGGACTGATTGAATGTTCTCATGGCATGGCAGCTAGTTTCTGTC